TCTTTGAGAAGACGTACAGATTCATTAACGACATCAAACAAGGAGAGAAAGAGGTGAGAAAAGATGGCCGATCACACTCGCATAGTTGTCCCGTACTGTGCTGAAGTCACATTGCCCCCTTGATCTTAGGTTCTACAGCGTTGCCCCCTGCTGGACATTATCAAGACTGCAGGTTTAAGACTCTTCTGCATCTCTGTCCTCCTCGGACTAGAAGGCTTGAGGCATGAATAAAAGTTGTTATTTTTTTTTGTCTGCAGATCATCCAGAAGACGCTGAAGAAGACAGAGCAACACGAAGGCGGAGAAGCTTCAGTTCCTCCTGAAGAGAATGGTGAGTCAGAGCTGGTTAAAATCCCCCGTTTCCACCAAGTGGTCCCGTTTACTTTTTTTAGCGTTTTCACCGTCAGAAGTTGGGAATGTACCAAAATACCCGATATGTACCGCCCTACTTTCTTGCTATCTAAACGTACAGAGCCGACCCTAAAGGGCGGAGCAAAACACACTGCAGCCCGCTGATTGGTTGAAAGGATCGTCACTTCCTGTGTGACAGCGGTGATAAAGGTCAAACACAACAGATGCCATATTTAAATATCCTGTGGATTTGAGATCTACAGGATATTGTTTCCTGTGACTGATGTCAGCGTGTAGCTCCGCCCCATGGACGACCTCGGAGGGGCTGACCTCTGCTGGAAGTCCTCCATTGTTGCCCTTCTTCTTGTAGAATTTATTGGCGGTCTACACTGTGTCACGCTGCTGTGATGTCATGCTATAACGTAGCTGGTGCGGCTAACGCTATCTGGCTCATAGCACGCTTACCATGTAAGGGTGAAAACACAAACAGGATCAGGGTCTACTGAACCAAACCGGACCGCCTGGTGGAAACGGGGCTCAAAAAAAACTTGCATCCAATATCTGTTATCAGGTTGACTTCCTCTTCAACATTTAGCACAAATCAAAAGACCGTCAAACGATCATTTGTTAACGTGTGAACTGTGACCGTGTGCAGGAAAACCAGGAGCGAGCGAGGAAGAGCCGCGAGGAGCAGAGAGAGAGAGAGCTGCAGTTCAAGAGGGAGCAGAGAGAACGAGCCAATCAGGGAGCTCGCCCGTTCTTCCTCAAGAACTGTTAAGAACACTGCCACGCCGATTCTCTGCAGCTTCAGCAACATTTTAAATGATTCATGTGTTTTAATTTTTGACTGTTTTGTTTTCCCAGCGGATAAGAAGAAGCTGCAGCTGGCGGAGAAATATCAGAGCTGAAGAAGAGCGGAAAACTGGAGAACTTCCTGAGCAAGAAGAGGAAGAGGAACGCCGGGAAGGACCGCAGGAAGCTCCCCAAACAGCTGCAGAACCAGCAGACGGCGTGAAGAAGAACGAGCCGGAGGCGTGAAGGACAACCCGTCTGTCTGACCTTCAGTCTGTCCTGTAGTGACACGCCTCAGCCTGCAGGGGGAGCTGCTGTCTGAAGGAATGACTTCAGTCCGACTTTTCTTTCCCTGTCAATCATGCTCTGTTGGAGCAGTTCTGTGGTGCATTCAATGACACTGGGAAAGCTGATCAACCACATCTTTTTGAAGGTTCATCCTTCACCCGGAGAGAGTGAGAGTCTGACACAAGACGTTAAAACCACGTCTCCCTGTCTTCATGTGTGAATGATGACGCCCTCTGATGTCACAAACACATCGTCATTTCGGCCAGAAATGTAAACTACACGTTTGATCTCCACTGGACTGAAACGACAGGAGAATGTTTTCCTGAATGATCCGTCTTCACGTCGTTTAAAGAACCTTTTCATGTCCGGTCACAGCTGTGCAGATTTTCATTTGATCTCTGGAAATATTAAGCTTCACCTCAAAACTCTGAGTAGTGTCAAACTTTGAAAATGTTTTTTTTTTTTTTTTTTTTAATAAAACTTTATGTGAATGTTTTGGTGATTTTGTGTGCGACTGCTTGAAGTGCTTAGAAATGGACTTTAATGATACTGATGATGAGTTCACTTCTTACGTGTTGTTTATCCCAGCTGTCATTGGGTGAGAGGCGGGGTTACACCCTGGACTGGTCACCTGTCAATCACAGGGCTGACATATAGAGACAGACAACCAGCCACTCTCACATTCACACCTACGCTTTACAAAAGAGAAGCTAAAAGATCTTACTCATTGTTTAGAAAAATGGGATATTGAGAAATGGATAAGTTGCAGGAAGGATTTCTCCTTTGTATTGCTCTCGTTCCTGTTGTCCACACTTCGTCCCCGCTGAGGTGGAGGTCGGAGCAGGCGGTGGTGGAGGCTGGCGTCAGGGACATTGGGTGGTAGTAGAGCCAGATCACCTCGCTGAAAGTTGGGGGAGTCAATCTACTCGAGAGCCCGGCTTCTGCTGCCGGGACAAGGCCTTAAAGGTACAGACACAGAAACAGCCTGTTCTGAGCAGGGCTGAAATAGAGGGGTTTATAGACATGATCAAATACAGGATCAGAGTGGATTTAGAACAAGACATTAAAGGAAATAACGTTTTTGTTGTGAGAACCCGATGCTTCTTCTAGAGAAAAATGGTCTTTAAAAAAGTAAACCACCGGGGAAAGTACAGTTGCCTAACAGAAGACGAGAGTCCTGGTCTGTTCATGGGTGCAGCATAAACACATTTTAGACATTTGTAGGGCAGCAGAACAACACATGTCCTTTAACAGAATGAACATCTTCTTGTCTCTCTTTTTAAAAACCTGCTGACAAAAAACATTTCATCCTAACAGGGAATGATTTTAAATCTTCTTTTAATCCTGGCCGCCTGTGAAATCAACTGAAGCAAACCAAAATAACAGACTCCAAACCGGCTGATTTCTGCAGCAACAAGTTGGTTTTAACCCCCCCCCCCCCCCCCGTTGCCCCTCCCGTGTCTCTAAAAGTCAATTAGCGGTGTCTAACGAGAACACAGAGCGGATTAATCCTGTTCTGTCCGCTCTGACAGGTGGCATTCAACCCGTCAGCCCCCCCTCATGGCCCCCTCCGTGCATCAATGGATGAGGGGAGGGGACGACAATAATAGAGGGTCTTAAATTCATGAGCTGATACAACCAGCACACATCTGTGTGTGTGTGTGTGTGTGTGTGTGTGTTTCTGTGTGTGTGTGTGTGTGTGTTTCTGTGTGTGTGTGTTTCTGTGTGTGTGTTTCTGTGTGTGTGTGTGTGTGTGTGTTCTGTGTGTTTCTGTGTGTGTGTGTGTGTGTGTGTTTCTGTGTGTGTGTGTGTGTGTGTGTGTGTGTGTGTGTGTGTGTGTGTGTGTGTGTGACCATGTTGCAGCCATTTCAGCCTGTTTCTCTGCTGCAGGCTGAAGAAAATCTACTGCAGCTATTCCAAAACTTTTTGTACCTACGAGTCATTTAGGACCCAAAATGTGTAAAAATAGAGCCCAGGTTAAAAAAAAGTCCTGGGGCCCGACTGATGTGGAAGTTTTGGGGATGATACCGATATGAGAAGGAGATAAAATCCGATACAGATATATCGGCCGATATCTTTCTTCGAGCTATCTTCGCCTGTAGAGATAGATATAAATAAACACATTTATGACGTTGATCCCTCAGTTATCAAACACTTGTGGAAAAGATTTATAATGAAAGTACAAATACAAGATGGTCACTCAGCTGGAAAGTAACTGAGCCTGTACGTGCATCACCGCTCAACACTCTGGAGAGTGATGATGTTTGTTGTAATCCATATAGCGCCCTCTGCTGGTGACAGAGAACTGCTAGTGTAACACAATGAAACTCAAATGAAATTCTATTTGACTGGTGATTAAATCGAGTATTATCAGCGCATATCAGAGATAAAATCAGCTGATACTGATCATCACTGGATAAGCTAATATCGGCTGAAATTATTGGCTGGCGGATTAATTGGTCGGGCTCTAAAAGCAACACTTTAAATCAAGAGATTACTCATAAATTAAAACAGGTTTCTGAATCAGACACAAACTCAGTTTCTCTGTGCTGACTCTCTGGTTGTTCTGCGATAAAGAATGTCATTGTTCTGGACTTAAAGTGGCCATCGACAGACGGTGCTCTGACTCCTCCCCCTCCCCAGGTGAACCCTCCCTCTCAGCAGCTTTCTCTCTCTCCTTTCTCGTCGGTCTTAAGCGTAACGGACGGCTCGCCGGGATCGAATAACCACACCATCGCTCTCATACTGATTCAGTGCGCCATTGTTCCCCCTATCATCATGAATAGCCAATAAAAAGCCCATCGCTCCTGAAGAAAAGGCGCCCGTGAGAGGGTGCGATGGCCTCCATACAGCTCCCAGCGTGGAAACCATCTGTCCGCTCGCTGTGTGAAAAGGATAATTGAGTGTTATAGAGAGCGGAGAAAAGATCTGATTTGTATTCTTTAGAAAGAGCCAGGGGTTTCACAGCACATCTGCCCCTCCGCTCCATTCACACTCATTCACTGTGCGCTCAATTAGCACACTCAATTAAGCCCTCATAATCCTTTTACCGCACACAAGGGCTGCCTCCAAACGCCACGCCCCCGCCGCAGAGAAGAGGCAACAAACGAGACTTTAGTGACTGTTTTCTTTTGGGAGGAAGGTCGGAGAGACAAAGCCCCCCTGAAGGAGTGAGAGTCCTCCGACACTTCATGAGGAGAGCTGACTGTTGCTGCAGCTGGCAGCGGCGACCGGCTCGGTCTGTGTGCCATTGTTCTGCAGATCCTGAGCTGCCTTTTCTCTGAGAGCGGTATGATTATTTAGAGGAGGGTCTGAACAGAGAGGCAGGCAGCCAGGCACATGCAGCAGGTCTGTGAACACAGACTGAATGCCGACGGTGTCACTGACGATGAAAGGCCGCTAGTTTAATCCCCATTAGTGTCGCGTGAGCCGAGACTCATGAATTTAATAGATTCATGTGAGACTTCGTTCAGATACATCGCTAAACATCATAGAGGAACAGATAACATCATTTCACTGGCTTTAGATTCAAATGTTTGTTTTTTTTTAAAGATTTATTTTTGGGCTTTTATTGTAGAGATAGGACAGTGGATAGATTTGGAAATCAGGGGGACAGAGTGGGTAATGGCATGTGGGAAAGGAGCCACAGGTGGGATATCAATCCTGGGCTACCCGGTTGGAGGACCACAGCCTCCATACATGGGGCACACGCACTAACCACTGCGCCACCAGCGCCCCTTAGATTCAAATCTTTAAACTTGGGCTCTATTCAAGCTGCAGCCTCCTGTGTTGATAAAATGAAGCTGAAGTGTAAAGTCCTGCAGTTCCTCGAGTGTCCACTAGAGGCTGGCTGCAGAAGCACAGGAAGTCACAAAAAACATTTTCGCACATACAGAAATCTCCTGAAAAACTACAGAGATTATCTCTGTACAAGTTTATCCTTCCAGACCCCTAGTTTTTTTTTCCACATCAAGTCCGAGTGAGCTGATGTGAGAGCGTCACACGGAGAATTCACCTCAAGCCAATAGGAGGGGGAGTGAAGTGTCTATACTGGGACTACTGCACGGTGCATAGAGGTCTGCACGCGACCACTACGATATCAGTGCACGTAATTAAACGGCTACATTACATGTTCTGTTCATCATTTTTCCAACAGGAGGGAAAAAAATCATCTTCCTCTGTAACAAGAAAAGATCTATCTCTGCATGGATACTTCATGTGATGATGTCACAAACTTAGAAAAACAATTTCAGCCTGTCAGGGACAAAAACAACAACTCTTAGTGGATGCACTTCAATTATATTGCAGCCATTACAGCCTGTGTCACTGCTGCAGGTGGAGGAAACATACTGGAAACAATTTGGGAGGGTTCACCTGAGGGGGAGGAGTCAGATCACCGTCTGTCGATGGCCACTTTAATTTGTTAAAAAATAGGAGAGCTTGAGAACACTGGAAAGCACCTTTCAGCCCAACCCTTTTTTTCCCCCAGCTGGTCCAAACATGAACAGCTCAGTCCAAAGTGTCTAACCGGAAAACAAAAAACAGTCAAGAGACTTCTTTCACCTCGTTTGTCTCATGACACAGATCCTCGCTGTAACAGGAGCGTTCACTCTGCAGCACTGTGAGCTGCATAGACAGGGTGTGTCGTTATCTAATGTGATGTTGTGTTTTGGCAGCGAGTGAGTTTACAGAGACATGACTGCACATTCACAGAATCACGGGAAGCCCCTCGTCTCTCCAGATGTCGTAAATGTATACTCTTTATTTTGCAGCTGGAGAGTCGAAGCAGAGAAGGGAAAATCTGCAGCTGATTAAGTCTCACAG